GATGCCGGGGTTGGCAGGGGTGCAGGAGCCACAGAACACGACAGGCAGGTCGGCGGAGGGCCACATTCTCCGAGCTTGGACCACAGCACCACGCCTGCAGGGCTGCGTATGTGACGCTCAGGAGGGCGTGATTGTCTATAACCGGCGGGTGGCCCAGTGGTGCCCAGCCCGCAGGGCAGGTCAGCCCTCCAACCGAAGTAGGAACCCTCAGCTCCACGCAGCGGACGCCTTTGGCCTTCGGGTCCCAGGGGCACGTGGGGCACGTGGAGGCAAGAGGACCAACGTCAGACGGACGGCAGGTGGGGTCACCTTGAGATACAAGGATACAGGGTGGAGCAGGGAGATGTTTGGGAGTTTCTGGTGTGTCTTGGTGTTTTCTGCCCAGACTGCCGTGCCCTCAGAGGCCTGGCAGTGGGGAGGCCTGCCCACTGTGCAGGGCTGTGGGCCAAGTCCCGGCCGGCAGACGGCAGGGCTAGTGATCTCATGTCCCCGCCTCCGTCCCCATGGGCGTGAGTGGACAGTGGGCAGGGAGCAGGCATTCCAGTGACATCCCCGCCCTTTGTGGGACAGACCTGTGCTGTGCCCTGAAGGCAGAGCCACTCGCTGTGAGGAGGCCTGAGGGCTGTCTGCTGGGCGTGGCTCTGAACTTCGACTCAGTCACTCGGGACCCTTACAGGCCTGTGTGCCAGGGTGAGCACGTCGGGGAGCCGGGGCCAGGAGACCTGAGGGACGCAGGCCGTGTGTGACAGACGTGCGGGCAGTGCTCGGCAGGGCGGTTTTGGGCTCCCTCCTCTGCCCGACTGTCTTGAGGCACAGCGTCTCCTGACACACCTGTTGCTTCGCGTTCTCAGAAGCCATGGCAGGCGGTGGGCAGTACGGGTCGGGGTTACTCACTGTCCGCAGTGCAGGCTGCCACCTGGGGCTGTGGGCTTCAGCGGCCCTGCCGAGAACCAGCCCCAGGCGGACACTGCCCAGTGCGGTCTGGCCACAGCCCGTGGTCATGTGCTGTTAAGTGATGAAGTCGGTCGTCAGATTCGTCCTTAGGAGACCCTTTTTCTCAGACAAACTCACGTGTGCGTGTCATCTACAGCTACGTGTTGCTGGAGGATGACGGCCCCCTTTCTGTTACCCTGTCACCGCCTCGTCAGGATGTGCACGTGTTTGGGTGCACGTGGGTGGCTCTTTCCGGAAGGAGCCCGGCGAGCCTTTTTGGGTGAGGAGGGAAGTGGTTTCACCTTTGCTTCTCACTCCCACGGTGGCTTCCTTTCCCCAAATCACTTCTTGGTGCTGGAGACACTGTAACGCTTCATGGGGAACCTGGTGGGCTCAGTGAGCTGACTGTCCCGCTTGTGAAGCTCCCACCGTGGCCTGCTGGAGCCTCGAGAGCTGAGGGCAGTGTCCTCTGTTCTCAAGGGCTGGCCACGTGGGTAAGACAGACTGACACGTGGGATGGCGGGCGCTCAGCGGTGTGTCTTACCCATTTTTTTTTTTTTTTAAAGATTTTAGGGCCGGCCGAGTGGCTCAGTTGCTTAAGAGCTCGCTCAAGAGTTTGAGCTCTGAGCAACAGCGGTTCGAGGCCAGCCCGAGCTGAGCAGCCGCTAAGCTGCCAACAGCTAGCAGGATGGCTCAGCTAAAAAAAAAAAAAGAAAAAGAAAAAAAAATAAAGATTTTATTGGGGAATTGGGGGAGGGAACAGCGTTGGGGAATCGGGGAAGGAGAAAAGACAAGTTGCTGTCCTTTTGTTCTTTAGTCTAGTTGTGGAGGACATCGCTTCACTGGCCCACGTTGGTATTGTGATCATTGCACTCTTCCTGGGTGAGGCAGTTGCTCGCCGGCCCCTGGACAGCCGCTCACGACAGCTCATGAAAGCGCACGCCAGCTGCAGGTCAGCCCCACTGCAGCCTACGCAGTCGCCAGCGACTCCCGGCATCTCAGCTCCAGGTCAAGCTGTTGTTCACCATCTTAGCTGTAGAGGGCGCAGTGTCATTGGCCCTCATGTGGGATCAGAGCTGGTGTCCCAAGCCAACTCCTAACTAACGCGCCACTCGGCCGGCCTATCTTACCCATTTCTGAAAGGGCTCCCCATGAAGACCAGACCTGAGAGTCTAGCTGTGACCCCTGGACAGTCCTGACACCGAGCGCACAGTAGGGCTGGAGGTTAGGAGGGTGTCATGGAGCTGAGGCCTGGGGCTGGACCGGGGCTGGCTTTTACCCAGGAGTGGTGCCGAGGGGTGGTCTCAGCCTTGTCCCAGGAGAGTGCGCTTGCGGTTCCTGGGTGACCGACTGTCAGTCTGGAATGAGTGACCTGTCAGTGATTTGATTGCCGTGAACGTGGAGTGCATCTCAGGGTCCAGGGGGACGGAGCACGCCGTGGCTTCCCAGGGCCTTCGGGGAGTGTGTCTGCTTTGTGTATTTGTATATTGGGGGTGTTCTCAGAACGTGAAGCTTAACATTTCAGTGACTGTTTTCTGAACAGGCGGCAAACAAAAGGTACCGAGTGGCTCTGAAACCCAGTGTGTCTGCACCTCCCAGGCCCGGGGGAGGTGGGGCCTTAGCAAAAGGAAGCCTGACGCCCACAGCCCGTCCCAGGCCTGGTGTTTCTCACCCAGACGGCCCCTTATGTGGCCCCGGGAAGTGGCAGAGCCTGAAGCGGGAGGTGGCTGTCACCAGCTGCGCTGCACGTGCAGGACTGTGGGTGACGTGGGGGTGAGTGGAGTGCCACCACTTTCCTCTGGCCTGTGACTGAAGGGCCACCAGGTCCAAGCTCACCCCAGGTACGTAGGACAGGCGACGACAGCTCCTCTGCCCAGCCCAGGGCACCCAGAAACACAGATGCTGCCATTTAGTTTTCAGCTCAGGCCGTCCTGTAGCTGCAACGTCAGTGCCGTCCATGGGACCCGCTGTCTGCCAACCCCCCGAGGTGTCGCCTGGTCTCTGCCCACCTCCCCTTTCACGTCAGACATGGAGTTTGAAGCAAAGTCTCCGTATAACTGACTGCTTAGCGCTGCTCCAGCTACCTGGGACACGCACTTGGTTTCATTTGCTGGAAAGCTCAGTGCTGGGTGTCAGACTCCGCAGTCCCTCGAGGTGGCCGGCCTGCTGGCAGTGGCTCTGTGCCACAAGCCCCCGCAGACGCGGTGTTGGACACGCCCTGCGCACAGGCTGTGCCCAGTCGGGGCATTGGTTTGTCTTCATGCAGTAGCCATGGTGTGTTTGAGGCGTGAGGTTGGCTGCGGCGCCCAGGGCCCTCGAGGAAGGGCTGGCCTGAGACCATGATGACCGCTGTGTCTTGGGGCTCGGCGTCTGCTCAGCTCAGTACTTAGATGTGATTCTGAGAAACCTGGTGTGGTCAGGGGTCCTCAGGAGGGTGTGGCAGTGGGGGTGTGACATTGTGACCTTGACGTGACACCTGCCAGGTCACGTGCACGGGAGCACCAGGCACTCCCTTCTTGCATCCAAATCTGCTTGGTGAAACGGCTCCCCAAATCACTAATGTTGGTTCCCTTTCTGCATGGCGACTGGGCGGGGGCGGGGCAGTGTGGCACAGCGGGGAGTCCGAGTCCAGAAACCACAGCACATTTGTTGAGCACCTGCTGTGCCCAGCGCTGTGGGGGACCCAGGGTTTATAAAACTCAGCTTGAGATTTAATTTGGAAAACCCTTAAAATTTTAGCAAGCCCCAGAATGTGGGCTCCCCAAAATTGTCGTTTCTCAAGAACAAACTTCTGTGCCTAGTGAGGGGGGTGAGACCCTCCTTCCCCCAACAACGACACCCTTCTCAGCCCCGTGCACTCATGGTCCTCAGGGCAGCCCGGGCCGCTGTCGCGCCGAGGTGTCCTTCACTGACGCTGCAGATCTGTTTCAGCCAGGCTCCCACGGAAAGTGCCATCCCGTGCTTCCCGGCACTGCCTGGCACTCGGCTGCTGACAAGCGGTGTCCCTCAATTATAAAAGCCCCTTAGATGCCGGTTCCTCACGTCCTTCATTCCGGGCGGACCCGAAGGCGTCCTGTTGGTTGGGGAGAGGGGATGGCAGCTGAGCGATACGTGGGACACACTTGGTGCTATGCCTGGGACGAGCGTGGGGGCGTCCTCCCTTGATTGACGCTTGACAGGGACGGTGGCCCTCAAAGGCTGCTGGGCTCAGAGCCTGAAGCACTGGGTGTGACGGTGTTTGATGACATGGGCTCATATTCCCACCTTGCCCCAAGGAGCAGAATTTTCTGAGGCGCAGGGAACGCCCCCCGGGTCTGGTTTCACTGTCGCCATCAGGTGGACAGTCTTAGGTTTTGTTACTGGACTTCTCGCATATGTGTGGCGTCCTCAGAAACTTCCGAGGAGGAATCTGAAATCTGAACATGGCCATTTGTTCCATGCTTCGCACCCACCTGGTGTGCAGAGCTTCTCTTTTTTTAAAAGACCAATAGAAACATGACGGACGAGGGACGTCCCGTCCTGGGTGTGTGTCTGATGGGCAGACGGCCAGTGCCCGTGGGCTCTCGGCGTAGCGCTCACAGCTCAGCTCACGCACGAGCGGCGGGGAAAGGCCTCATGGCCAGCAGCTCTGTCATCGCGCTGGGTTTGTTGGGTGGACGGGCAGTGTCCTGTGCGGATTCTAGAGTCACAGCTGCCTGACGGTGACGCTGAACGCACAACCAGGAGGCTGGGTGTTCCCGAGCTACCCCACCAGGTTGGCTCTGATGGCGGCTTTGTCACGGGAAATCCAGCCACCCGCAGATTTCAACAGGATGCGGTGCTCTCAGGAGCCTCTAACGTGCCTTAGGGGGTGGGGAGCGCGGCCGCAGCTGCGCTTTCCTGGAGCCGTGCTCCCCACTCCTCTCAGAAAATGGTCGGTGCCCCAGCAGTGCACATGGTGACAGGAGATAAGGCCTGCCTTCTCCCGTGCCAGGACCGCAGTGGCGGCCCTGGGGAGGGTGGCTGGGTGACGCCCGCGTGCCCCTCTGCAGCACCCCGCTCACGTTTTCCCCATCCTGTGCTTGCAGGTGTAGCCAACGAGGACGCCTTCCTGGAAGAGTGCAGGCAGAGAGGCCAACACGCGCTGCCCTCGCAGGCCGCCAGCGCCAGCGCCAGCGCCCGCCCGCTCAGGTCCCAGAAGCCCACCTCTCTACCCAGACACGCGTCCCCTCCCTATGTGGGTGAGGACGAAGACGAGCAAGGGAGACACCGGGCCACCGGCCTTTGGGACCCGTCCGTGTTCTCAGCAGGTGTGCAGAGGGAAACGGAGGCGGGGCGCCCCCTCGGGGATGCCTCCCTCACCTCCCAAGGCCAGAGAGGACAGAAAGTGCCCCTGTGCTGTTGTGTCCTGACCTGATGGGTGGGGGCAGGGCAGGTGAGGAGCTCAGCACAGGAGGGCCAGGCACCTCGGCTTGCGTCCACGAACCCCCCCCCAATTAAAACGGGGTGCCAGCCTTCGTGACAGTATGAAGTGTGTTGTCTTGAGCACAGGGTGACAGGTGCTGCTTTTACCTTAAATACCCCTTTTTGTAATTTCCACCTTAGTGCTTGCGGTCTGGTGGCCACTCGCTGCACTGGGGGGCACGTGGCAGTCTCCCCGCTGACAAGCTTTGCGTTTTCTTCACCCTTTGTGCCTTCATTGAGTTTGGTGCAAAACAAAACGCAGCAGCCGCCCAGGGTGCTGGCGTGTTTGATGGGTGCCCAGTACCCTGCCACCTGACTCTGCCCTCAGCCGGCTCCTTGTAATTTCCCGCAGGGGCCCCTGTGAGTTCCCGCAGAAAGTTCTGGATGATCTCTGAGCGTGTGGCTGTGCTTGTGGGTTTGACCCTGACCGAGTCCTAAAGCCCAGAGTAAATTGAACCTGGATCACATCACTTGAGTCCTTTGTGCCCATCTCGGTCCTCACCTCTGGGAGTCCCCAAGCAGGTTATGTGCTGGAGGGAAGCATGGGCCCCTGGTCCTCTCTGTCGGGGTGACGTCGTGAGCTTAGTTCTGTGGGCCAGGGGCAAACAGCACTGTCTGAGCAGTGAGTTCCTCTCCCAAACTTTCTGTCGGAAATCAGTCCCTTAAGGTCCCTCTGGTCCTTCTCAGCTCAAGCAGAGGCGTCTGTTAGGGCAGAAGGAAATGTGTCATCCTGAAGGTGGGGGTCCTGGGGCTTCGGACCGTGGCACAACCCCACCCCTGGGACTGCGGCCCCGCCAGCAAAGCAGAGGAGCCGTTTGGAGGCACCAGCCTTTTCCTGTGTAACTCAATGAAAAATGGAGGCAGTTGGAAAAGCTTGTCCTGTGCCTCAAATGGGCATGTGGACATTCGCCCAGGATTGATTTGTCACCTGGAACCGAGTGGTCCTAGGGTAGGCTGGGCGAGGGACACTGCCATGCAGGGGTCTTGGCAAGGGGCAGGGTTGTAGGTCCAGTTTCTCTGACCAAGTACCGTCAGACCGGGATTTAAAGGGCTACATCCATTTGGTTGGAAGGACAGTGTAAGCCTCGGTGGGGACGCTCTGGTTCCCAGGAGGAAGGTGCCGAACAGGACGTGGACCCATCGCCCACAACCTGGCCCAAAGGCCCAGTCCGGACGGCAACGCGAGGCCCTGCTCCCAGCGGATGGCGCCTGTCGCTCTGGCGTCCCGAAGAGAGCATGCCCGTTGAGAGGAAGATGCTTGGCCCCTGCTGGAGAATCTTGTTAAACAGGAATTGGTGGGAAAAAAACAAAGTAGTTCTCCGAAATTCTTGTGTTTTTGTCAGCTCTTACCGTTGGGTCCCAACCAGCTACTGTTTTCAAGCGGGGAGACCTGGTTGCCTTATGAACCCGGCACGAATCCTTGCACTGGAGAGGCGAGTGACAAGCTTCCATTTTCCGGGTCCTTCCCCATGGCCGTGGGGCCTAGCACCGTCCGGGGAGGGTTTCCGACACCACCAGGAGCGCCGCCGGGGTCAACCTCTTTTTCTGTCGTTTGCTTTTTATTTTCAAATCAAGCTATGAGACCTTAGAAAGAGTGTCAGAGTGAAATCACCAAAGAATTGAAGACAAGATTTTCATATAAATCTATAGTGAGCTCGTGCGACAGACTAGGGTCTAACTCCTTAGAGATAATGAGCTGCCCTGAAGGGAGCTTCAGGAAACGAAGACAGCGGACGAACTGGGGTGACACTGCGTGCAGAGTGGTCTGAGCTGCTTGCTGCCCTCCCAGCAGAGTGACTTCCTCCCGGAACAAGAAGCTGGTTGCAATTCCACCCAACTCTGCGGACTCTGGGCGTGGGGTGGGCTCCGCAGACACCGGAGTCCTGCTTGTAGATGTGCTCTGGTGTGGTCACACAGCCATCATTCTGCCATATTTCCAAGTCTTAAAAAAAGGGCACACATAAGGAGCCCAGTTACCCAGGAAGTGTCTAGTACCCCTACTTTGTGCTTCCCCACTTGACCCACCACTGGACGGAGGTGCCCCCCTGCGCTCTGGCTAACAGTGGCGTGTGCAGGCAGCCTGCAGTGTCTGGCAAGTGGTTATTTTAGGCTTAAAACGGGCTTTCCTGAGTGCCCCCAAAAAGCTGACTTGCTGGTGCGAGGAGCTCCCATATTTACAGCTGATACAGTTCAGCCTCGAGACGCAGTGAGGACCCCAGGAAGGCCTGTGGCTCAGTGGGGTCGAGCTGGATGTTTCCGCCCATGGCTTGTTGTCTAGGCTGCTCTTGTCCGGTGCCGGTGGCAGGTGAAGGTGTAACGTGATGTGATTTGCTGGCGTTTGGCTCTGTTAACGGGCTGTTCCATTAAATTCTAACCTCCGGTGAAATGCCCTGCTGCATGTCAGAGGTCGGCGGCCCTGACCCGTGTCATCGCAGGCCACTGGGGACCAGCACCTCGTCAAGTTGGAAAAGCATCGGTGTTTTTCACTTACAAATTACACACCTACTGTAGGTCCATGAGAACACGTGACGGTTAGAAGGGAAAGTCACTTATTCCTTGCGAAAAAATCTCGCGAATGAAAGAATAAACGTGACCCTCCAACTTTTGTTTAGTTTTATTTCTTGCTTTGGAGAAAGCGGCTTGCCCTGGAACGCTGCGGAACGCTTCGCTTCGACAAAGCCCAGCCTGGCACTCACGGAGCTAATGCTGGTGTTAACTCTGCTGTTCGCTTTTGAACTTTGGAGCTTTTTAATGAAACTAACTTACTTGCCTACTCGTGTTTCTCTGCTAAGAACTTCCAGCGGTTCTGTAAACAGTAGTTTTCTGTGAGGGACCTTCAAAGAACGCCGTCACCGGTGTGAGTGCCCTGAGGAGACTGGAGATCGGCCTGGAGGGGCCTCGGGGCTGACGCTGCCCCGACCCTGCAGGGGTGCAGGGGACGACAGCAGGGCATCCTGTGTCTTGTTTTGGGGTTTTTTTTTGTTTTTTTTTTTACTTAAACATTGAACATTTTAAGGAAATATGAAAGTAATTTTGTTTCACAGTGGACCCTGCTCCCCTGCCTGGCAGACCACAGCCGCAGGGGTGTGACCGTGTCACAACTTCAGAGTCCTTAACACCAGGGAGGAAGGGCTTCTCACCAGCACGTCATCCCTTTGTTGGGGTCTGGCTGGGCCTTGGTGGCGCTCGTTTGGCTGAAGGTTATGGGGTGCAGCGCCCCCCAGTGGCAGAGTGAGGTTTGTCCCGTGTCTCCTGGAGGTTGTGTGACACGAGGGGCTGCACAGCCTCAAACCTGCAGCGCGTCCCGTTGGTCACTGCAGAGCCCAGTGGTCCGGTCCTGTCCACACACCCCTACTCACCCTTCCCCTCGATCTGGGATGCGAGAGTCGGACGGGGACAGGTTTCGTGAGCCATCATTTCCTTCATGGTTTTGAGGAGGAACTCCCAGGCTGACAACTGGCTCTGGCCTGGTGCCTGCCGGGGCCTCCCTGGGTGGCAGCGTCTGTGCTGCTCAGGCTGCTGGTCTGTAGCTGGGGCACCAGTGCCCCTCACGTGGGGACAGTGTGCAGCCGGGGCAGGCCACACGCACCAGCCGCACGCCCTGTGTCTTACCATTCAATTCCTTTAGTTTGTCGGAGGTCATTCTTTTGTGGTCCTCTTAAAATTAAAAATGCCTGGAGCAGAAATGGCACTTGAATAAGAACGCAAGCGAGGAGTTGGTCCCCCTTCACCTGCGTTCGTGGGGGCGTCCGCATCCCCCTGGGGAGCCCTTCACAGCACCCCAGCACGACTGCAGATTTCCCCCCACCGAAGACCCATGAGGCCCGAAAGCGGCCTCTGACATCACCTCCACTCGTACCCGCTGCCTGTAGTCGCATCCGGTGTGGGGCATGTGACACGTCCCCGTGCCGTGTCTGGTGCTTTGGAGAGCGTTCTCTCCCTGTTGTGTCCGCGCCCTCGGTGCTGAGGCCTCCGCGGAGCACAGCCTTTGCCTCCTTCCACTCACAGCGTGAGGAACCTTCCGGAACACGTGGCCTGGGTGGTGCGGGTCAGGAGGGTGTGGTGCCTCCTGTGTGGCTGTAGCCTGGAAGGCGGCCACTTCCGAGTCCCTGTGGCGAGTTACCTGAGTTGTTCGTGAAGGGCTAGTGCATGTGGTGTCGAGGATCGAGGGGCTCCCGCAGCTGCGTGTATTTGGGGTGTCCGCAGGGAGGTGACCCCACTTGGCTCCCACCCAGTCACAGGTGGACGGTGGTCAGTAGCCAGGTGTGGGACACCCGTCTGGTTGTGGCCAGGGACCCCGGTCCACCTGCAATGGCGACTCCAGGAGGTGAGTCCCTAGGGTGGGCGGTGAGCGTCATGCCCATTGGCAGCGTCTGTTAACAGACTGTCCAAGGCCTCCTTGTGATTTAAAATCTTGAAAACGCTTTGCAATGACCCTGTCAGCGCGCCTGGAGCTCATGGGCACAAAGTCACAGCCCCAGCACCCTGGCCTGGTTCTGATCCCCGTGCTTTGTAGTTGGGCCATTTAAATCCATGTTTGCCTCCCAAACCCAACACCTGGCGTTCCTGCACCCAGGCGGCCCCCCCCCCTCCGCCCTCCTGCGGACACCCACCCAGTGTGGCTCACAGCGACCTCTCAGCTCTGCCGCCAGGCTTTTTATGTCTGGCTCTTTGGGCAAAGTCTCCAGAGGGTGAGCAGGGCGTTCGCCGGTCTGTCCCTTTAGTGTCCGTTGGGCAGTTGTTGACTTGAAGCAGTGACCGGGGAGCAAAGTTCCACCCTCAGTGCGGGGACTTCCAGGTGGGACCCAGGGGGCAGAGGAGGGGTTATCGGTGACCACGGGGGAAGGGCCCCTTTGAATAACGTAACTTAGGTTGTCATCGCATGATTTAAAAAGTCAGCTCGTGTCTGCTGAGCTTCAGGTGTGGACCAGAGAGAAGCGAGCATAGGTGACTCTTAGGTCTGATGTTTTTCTTAACATGGGGGCAGTTAGGACACGGTTGCGTCTTAGCGGGAAACAGCCGCTGTTCTCAGTGTTTCACAAGCCGTGTTTCCTTAGGGTTCAAAGAAGGTGGCAAGAGGAAGAAGCAGAAGCAGAGGGACGAGTCCAAGAAGAAGAAGCCGACCAAAGGGCACCGCTAGACGGACGTGCGGCCCGCCGAGCGCCCGCGCCCCGGCTGGCTGTGTGTGTGCACGCGTTAGGTAGCGGCATCTGCTTCCCCACTGCCCCAAGACCACCACTCCTCACACACTGGGGACGCTGATCACGGGTCAGTCAGACAGGGCCGGTGGGAGCCTGGGAGACGGGCGGGCGCGATGGCCAGGTGGCGAGGGCGGGGTGTCCCCTGGACCGTCCCTGCCTCTCCCCAGCATCAGCGTGTGCTCGGAGTGGACGAGGGTCTAACCCACTTTCTCGCCGGGCCAACCGCTGTGCAAACTGCTGGGGTGTCTAGCTGTAGAGGTGCGATTGTGAGGTGCCCGCAGGCCGCCATCTGTGCTCATGAAGTGACTGTCCTTCGTCACGCAGTGCTGCCCTGGAAGCTAGAGCTAGGTAAGTGTAGGGTGACATGCAGGTGACGTCATCACACCCAAGCTGTGGCCACCACGCACTTCCCCTTCAGTTTCTGGAGCCAGACCTGAAGAGCGGCCTGGCCCTACACGGTGGCCTTGGCAAGTCACTTCACATGTCATTCCCTGTGTTTATTGCTTTAAATTTGATCCCCTCCAAGCGGTCCAAATTTGACTTCGAATGTTTAATTTTTGCTAAACCCCATTTTTTTCTTGGACCCGTAGTTCTTTTTAGGACGTTCACAGAATTCTACAAAACACCCACACCCACACCCACACCCACCCAGTGAGTATGCTGAACTCAGTATTTCAGTTTGTAAACATCGGTCCTTTAAAAATCCACCTTATTGTAGCAAGTTTCTCCCAGCCCCCCGTAATTCTTTCTTTGCATGATCTGCTCTTAACCCTCTGCGCTCTGAGCACCGCTGCCCGCCGCTGCCCGCCGCTGCCTTCTCCTCTAACACAGAGCCTGTCCTCCATATCTTCTCTTCCTTGGCCCTCTTGGAAACTCGGGCGTCGTGAAAAGCCTGACGTCATTAAACAATGCCAGCAACTGTAATGTCGCAGTGTTGAAACCTGGGGGTGTTTCGGTCGAGTCCTGTGGCCATGCCATGGCCTGGGGGCCAGAAATGCGAGTGTCGTGTGACTTCCTGGTGACTGTTACAGGGACGTTTGGTTTTGCTGGGAGCGGTGCCGACTGTGGTGTGAATTGCGCACGGGTGTGTGATGCTTGCTGCGGAAAATGTAACCATGAAAGCATAGCGTGTTTTCAGTGCCACCCACGTGAATAAAATGTAAGCGTCAAATGTCCTGCTCCCTTGCCATCATTTATACATCTCTGAGCTGCACTGTTGTTAGTGATTAAAGGTCAAAGCAGTTCTCCAGTGTTTCAATTAGAGAAAACATTCGCACTGAGTGTCCGTGTGTAAACCCAGCACTGCAGAGATGGGACAGGAACAGGCCTGCCCACGCGCCTGGCTGTGCTTGGTGACTGTGACGGGACCAGCCCAGCTTCCGGGCGCAGCCCGAAGTCACAGTGCGGCTGTGGGGACGGGCCTGTGACGGGGCCCCTCCCGTGGGTTGCGTCTCCGATGCCCCCACACCAGAACTTGTCTCCTGGGGACCTGGGGAGGGAGGCGGTTCCAGGGCGAAAAGACGTTTCATTGGAGGCGGGTCACACAGGAACGGTGTCTGTGGGATGGTGTCAGGGCCCAAGTGTCTTCCACGCATGAGCAACTTTCATCGAGCTGCCAGGCTCCACATTTTCATGTGACCCAAAGGGGCCAGCTCCTCAGTGAGCAGGGGAGGCCCCCGGAGGCCAGAGCCATGAGGTAGATCCCACCTCACAGGCCACCAAGCGGGGGCAGAACCATACCTGCCTCTGCCACCCAACCCTCGGGCCACAGGGCCTGGCTTAGGTGGGCACTGAGGGTGCCCTTGCTGTGTGTGAGGAGCGAGTTGGCTTGGGGGATCTACTGTGAGGGGTTGGGGGGGGGCCAGAGGGGTGGGCAGGTCCACTGGCGAGGTCACCGTCCCTTAACAGTGGACAGCAGGCACAGAGCCGTCTGTGCTGAGGCCCCACCCCCCGTGCTCTCCTGATGCTAGGTGGGGGCCCCGGCGAGCCGAGCAGCGGTGACCACCCCCCACACTGGGCTGTGCATGCTGCTACCACGGCTGTCATCAGCCTTAATTCTTTGACTTTGTCCCTGGGGTTTCATAGGTTTTCGCTTGATCAACAGCTTCATTCTCAGTGAACAAACAATTCAGTTTTTATGGCATAAAAATGATTGTTTCGCCGACGGACTAGCCATTACGCAGTGACACGAGGTGGCCCCAGATGGCACAGGACAGTGAATCTCCCTGCTTCTGAGACAGTGGATTTGACGGATGGTGTGGCGGTCGGCTGTCTGGGTCTGGATGGGTCGGCTGGGCTTGTAGAAGCCCTGGTTCTGGGAGGCCTCCCTTCCGCATGATGGGGGCCCAGACGGGAGAGGCCAGGGCCCTCGGAAGGGGTGGGACCCTCAGGTCCACTGTCCCCACCTCCGAAACGCTGCCTGTCCCTAGGGGCGGTACGCGCTGGGCCCTTTCTGGAGAAAGGCCCGTCAGGGCTACTGGTCTGCACACGGGCCAAGTGCCATTGTCACAGGGTAACGTTCCTTCTGGTTTTTCTTCTGCGGCTACATGCTGCCCCGGGGGACACTGGTCCATTGTCTTCTATGAGGTCAGAGGTCAGAGGTCAGGCCTGGGACACCAGCGCGGCCACAGGCCCTTAGCCACAGTGTCTACAGCTCACATTATTTTCACATCTTGTCTTTTGAGTGTTCCGGTTGTTGGTTTTTAAAATCTGATTTGCTGGTTTTAGATTTTTTAAATGTGTCCTCATCTGCCTGATACATGCTTGTCAATTATGTTTAATTTTTAAAAATCTTACTCTTTTATTCATATTATCTTAAACCATATTCTGTTTCCTAATTTCTAAATTTCCTTCCAGAGGTTTAAAAACTCTTATTCACAATGGCATTTCAATTCCCTTTTTGTTTTTTAAAGATTTTATTGGGGAATTAGGGGAGGGGAACAGCGCTGGGGAATCAGAGGATGGGGAACAGACAAGGTGCTGTCGTTTTGTTCTTGAGTGACACACGGGACCTGGTCTTCAATCATGTTCAGGACGGACGAACTCACAGGGCCAGCCTCCACACCCAGTGGTGGGCCCCGTCCCTTGTGTCCCCAGCTGGCCGTGGTCGGCTGCAGCTGCGTGTCGATGGGGACGGGTCCAGCCCCAGCTGAGGAGCTGTGCCTGGTCTGACATCGTCGGCCCTGCTGTCCACCTGGCCTCTCTCCCTGGGTCGCTCTCCACCTGCCCTCGTCTGCGAGCAGGATGGATGTGCAGCAAAGGGGACCCCAAAACTGAGTACTCTGAGGGACGAGTAGCAGCTCCTGGGGCAAAGGTCAGGCCACAAGGGCACCCTGCTGCCCGGCACCCTCGTGAGCCCAGGAACTCGGAGTCCGGAATGTTCTGTGTTGTTCTCTTACCCCATCTGCCACCCTGACCCCTCCCCGTGTCCCCATGTCATCTGTACAGGTGGGCAGTGGCTCCTGGAAGGTACATCCACGCCCTAACCTGTGAATGTGACCTGTGTGCAGTAGGACCTTTGCAGATGGGGGTCTCCAGAGGGACCATTCTGGGCTGGGGTGGCCCAGCTCCAGCGACAGGCGTTCGTCCTTCCAAGAGGGAGGTTTGAGATGCAGGCACCTCTGAGAGACTGGGTGACATGGCCCCAAGCCAGGGACGCCTGGGCCCCAGGAGCTGGAAGAGGCAGAAAGGACCCTCCCCTGGCACTTCTGGAGGGAGCCGGCCCTGCGCCCCCGGAATCTCAGCCCTCTGGGCCCTGGACAGCGCAGGACGAGTCTGTGTCACGAGCCCCAGCGTGTGGTGACTTGCTGTGGCCGCCCCAGGACTCCGACACCATCCTGGCCCCAGACCCTGCTCTTGGAAAGCCGACCAGTAAGTGGTTTCTGTGGCTTAATACTTCATCCCAACTTTAAACCTCATATCAAACATTTTCTGAAAATTCCCATGTAGCTCAATGGGAATTTTTCCTTTTTTTTTTCTTTTGAATTTTTCTTTATTCAAGTGTCTTCACGTAGAAAAACAACACATGAGCACAGGTGAGTCAGCATGGGCAAGATGGTGTTTTATGATGCAGTCTTTGCTGTGGCCACAGGAGGGCGCCTCCACAAAAGAAAATGAGACTGGCAGGACACCCGACACACGCAGGCTCACATGCACGAAAGGCAGGCGCGCGCGCGCGCACACACACACACACACACACACAGGCACACGCGCGCGCACACACACACACACACACACACACACACACACAGGCACACGCGCGCGCACACACACACACACACACACGCACACACACACACAGACAGAGGCAGGCACACACTCACACACTGGAAGGAGCATGTCAGCCAGTCTCACGTGAATTGTGCTCAAGCTAATCAAGGCTAAAACGAGCTGGAGGGGAGGGGACCAGAGCGGTGCCATTGCCCCCTCGGTAGAATAAAAGAAATCGTGTTACTGGAGAGGGTGGAGTTTTTTTGTTCAACATTTGCCATCTAGTCTCATAACCTTATTAATAACACATGAAAGAATTCACAAGAACACAATTTTCAGTGATGAAATTAGGCTCTGCCGGAAAGTCAGAATTCTTTTTTCTGCACTCACATACCAAGAACATTTCTACATCTTGTACTCAAATCACATCTGACAAATGGTAATTTGTGGTTTCGTGGGCTAATAGAGAAAAATAAAACCTATTGTTAATATTTCTAGCACCTTCTAGCTAAAATAACCCCGTAATCGCTGAGCCCTGTACAGCTCCCAGTAAGTGGGCTCGGGGGAAGTGTCAGGTCCCCCGACCGCTGTACAGGGCTGGTCACGAGTCAGGTCATCCCACTGCCGGGAGCGCAGGGAAGGCAGCTCACGTGTGGTGCCACAGAACCTGCCTTGCGTTGGTTTTGAAGCCCGTGGTAGAAACAGACAGCCTCTCATTAATCCAGACTTTCAGGACTAGGAATTTCTCCGAGGTTGTTTAGAACTGAAATGAGCCGTATATGACAGCAGCGGTGGTTTCAAGTGCCCTTCTGTGTCGTAAAAAGTACGCTCCATTTGGGAGTGGGAACACCTCCCTGACACGCGCAACGCTCACAACCCAAGTGGTTGGATATTAGAGAGGCCATCGGGTCACCGCGTGCTCTGTCATCTAGATTTAGGAACTAGAAAATAAAAGATTCATCTTCCTACCCTGATGTGCTCTTAACTCTAGTTTCTTTTACTTTTTAGCTTCATCGACCAATAGTTATAAATACCAAGCATGTTGGGAAAATATAAATATGAGTCAGATTTGCTAGAGCCAGGTGCCCGGTTCCGCCTGCAGACCTCGGGAGTTTAATCTTAGGCACAATCTCTGTCGTTCACGTAGCTTTCATGCAGTGTCTAGTCAGATCAGAATAACAGGTCCGACCCCCAGCTGGTCACTTGGCTGATGTGAACTTCCTGTGTGTGGACCCGTCTTTGGCTGTGCTGTGGGTTTTCTAGAGGTGACGTTATAATCTCCTGGTTCCCATTATATTTATCACAGCCAGTTTAGAATGAGTTGGGAGTGATTAGAGAATGTCTCAAATGTCAGATCATTAAATGAAACTGTAAAAGGTAAATGACTGTAGTCTTTGGCAAGTGTTCGTAATACGGTCCCTTGAATGACATGCTAATTGCTCGGAAATATACACTTTTATTACCACTTTTAGGGACAACAGATTAGCCACTAAAATTTTAAAATTTGATGTGCATAGCAATGTATTGTAGCTGCCCCCAAGAAATCATGGAATTTGATGTCTGAAATATTACCAAGGATTTCTGGAGCAGTCAATTAAAATATGGTATTGTTAAAGGCGTGTGTGCATGTGTGCACATGTGTGTACATACATGTGTTCACGTGTGTGCTTGTGTGGGTATCACCTGCCAGTTCTTTTGAATTTTTTTTCACTCCTCACAAAGTGATAATCCCCCCACCACCTGTTCTTTGAGTTTTAAAAGCCATTTACAAAGAGTTCAGTCTGATAAATATTGTGGAAAATATTGAAAGCTGAGGTTAAAAAGTACAGGAATCGTCTCTAAAATAAATGATCAAAGTGGTGTGAGGTGACCTGGGGCAGTCAATACCGGTGACGTGGCCGCGACACTGCTGGCTTCTCGTTTGTCACATACCATCTGCGGTGACTAATGAGGAAAACAGTTACCAACAATTTCAGAAATTTCCCCAAACTGAGAATCTCGTCTCCTTTCTGCATTGAATCCTGGTGACACAGAAACAGTTTCTGCTTCAATGTGTTAATGTCACTCGCATGAAACAAACTGTGACAAGCGAGCCTGGGTGGTGCGCGTGGGGGGGCACTGGCAATTTTTTTCACTCGTTTTTGTTGGAGATGTGTTTCCAGTGTGGATGAGTTTGGTTAGCGGTGTATCTAGCGCTGCTGCCTCTGAAACGTCCAGCAAATGGCTCTCACTAGGCAGTCAGGCCTTGTGGTCCAGCGTGTGTCCTCGTCAGGAGCCTGTTGTGGGTGTGTGGGCAGCAGGAAGCGCCCTTGTGATCAGGGCTGAGCGGGCCTCTGGTGGGGCGGCATGCGGACTGGCACATGGAAACCCGAGCCCCAGGGTGCAGCACATGGTGTGGTCAGGTCTGGCTGGCGGGTCCAAGCCGGCGGCCGAACAAAAAGCTCAGTTTTCACTGTTGTCACACGCCTTGGGTGTCAGCCTGCGCTGGACAGGTCATGAGTGTAAAGTGATAGCTGTTGGCAATGCACTGTGACAACAGGTTGTCGTCACATGAGGTCATCATCCTGTGGGGGTCGCCGTGGGGAGAGGGCCGGAAGCTTCCGTGCGGAGCTCCGCCCGACGGGGAGGACGAGGCAGTGCCCATGCCGAGGCCTGGCTGGCAGGTGGCAGGAGGCCGCGTCTGCTGGTCCGGAGCCTGGCGGTGATCCGGGGACAGCTAGTCTGTGCAGTGAGCGACGGTGAACGGCCCAATGCACGTGGGGAGCGTGCACGAAAAGGTTTGTCACCAGCAAAGCTTTAACCTACTCAGTGCCGAGGCGTCGTCCATAGAAGGTGCCGGAAGAGGGGGTTCTGGCTGATGACAGGGGGGCCCCACCTGGAGGCACGTGTGCTGGCAGCCTGGAGGCTGGGTGGCTCCGTGCCCCGCACACACTCCCAGGGGCACTGACCTCCCAGGACAGGGCCCAGCGCCAGCCCCGCCCCAGGGCCCCGGGTGCCGCCTGCCTGACTGGCCAGCCTTGCTCTGCCCGCCTCCCGGAACCTTATTCACCTTCACAGGCTCTTGTATTGAAAGAAAACCGTCGTCCGGGAAGATGGCCCCCCCCACCGTGCCCTCGGGGGTCCTCCAACCTCCTCAGACAACACTGTCTGGCTTCTTGAAGGTGGAACCGCCTTCGGGGACGACGCCCGCTTCCTCCCAGTGCTGACAGTGGGCTGTGAGGACATAAGTCAGGGTCTTTAGAACTAGAAGTGACCTGGGGGTTGGTCCCTCCTGCGGCTCAGGTCACAGCTGGCTGCCGACCCCCTGGAGGTGCCTGCTGTGTTTCCTGGGGTCAGGTTGGTGAGGGTGCCCCGACAGTCTTGAACCGTGTCCCCCCAGAAAGACAGGGTGGGGTCCTAACCCCGGGCGCCTGTGGAAGGAGGGTCTTCACAAGTAAGGAGAGACCAGACTGGGGGGGGGGCACGAATCCAAGGACCGGTGTCCTTGTAAAGAGGCTGCGTGACGACAAAGGCAGAAATTGGGGCGATGTATCCACAAGCCAAGCACTCGGGCGCACACAGGAGCTGGAAGCCTCCACGGGACTCGGCCCTGGGATGCCGAGGTCTCAGATATCCGGCCTCCGGACGAATTTCTGCCCTCACCCCCGTGACACTGTCTTTAAGGTGACACCCCAGTCAGAAATTGGTGCCCTCAATTGTCTTTCCGGGTTATTTTGGTGTCATTCTCACGGAGCTGGTCCTGGACCAGTGACCTGTTATCCTCTGACAGTAGTTAACAGGCTGAAGGTCGCTCGGCCACCTGTGGTGCAGAGCCTGCCTCCCCTCTCCATGTGGCCGAGGGCCAACCCCGCTGGTGTCTGACCTCCCGCAGCTGCCGTCGCCGAGGGCTTCTGTCCTGTTCCATCCTTTGTCTCTGTTTGAGATGTGTCATTTGTTCCTCTGACACATACCTGTGACGATGACCAGGATGCTGACTAGGTAGGTGGCAAACCATCCCTGTCCATAAGCATGCTGGTGGCACAGCACGGCAGGGGGTGGCCGGCGAGTCGGACCAGGCCCAGGACTGGGTCATGGGGCCCGGGGGCCCGTCACTGCAGCCCCGCCGTTGTGGTAGGAATGCCAGCGGCCGGGACAAGCGCACTCAGCCTGCGCATCCTGCGTTCCAGGGCAGCAGTGAGATGGCTCTGGCTACTCTGGGCCCCTTGAAACCTCATGTACATTTTAACTCAGCTGTTCGATTTGTGCAGAGCTGGGAGCTGGGGTCTGCAGCTGCGGCCACAACACTACATCTTCTGGTCTGGGAACACGGAGTCTGTTTCCATGTTTTCAGACCTTTAATTTCTTTCAACATGATTTGTTGGATTCGGAGTGTAAGTTTTCCATTTCTTCTGTTGAATTTAGCCTTAAGTATTTCATTTTTTTGATGCTGTTGTGAATGCAGCTGCTTTCGTCGTTTCCAGATTGCTCGTTGCAAGAGTGCAGATGCACCACTGGCCTTTGGTGGAGCTTGGGTTCTACGACCTTGTTGAACTCAGTAGGTACCACACTTTTTTAGTGGATTCCTTAGGATTTTCTATATTCAGGATTATGTCACTGGCAAATAGAGATCGTTTTATTTCTCCCTTTTCAGTTTGGATGTGTTGTGTTATTTTTTTTTCTTGCCTTATGGCTCTGCGAGGACCTCCACCAGCATCGTCAGTGGCAGCGGTGAGAAGATTCCCGTCTTGTCCCTGATCTGGGGGGAAAGCTCGCTGTGACGGGGACATCAGCTGTGGGTTTCCTGTAGAAGCCCTTTGTAAGTTGAGCAAATTCCCTTCCGAAACTCCTAGTTTTTTTAGTGTCCTTATTATGAAAGCCTGTTGGATTTTATCACGTTTTTCTGCATTGAGATAATCATGTGTTTTGTTTTTTGTTTTTTATTTTATTCATGTGATATGTTTCCTTAATTGCTTTTTTGGGTTAAACCAACCTTGCATTCCTGGGATAAACCCCATGTGGTCATGGCATACAATTCTTTTTACGTGTTGCTGGCTTTGGTTTTCCAGTATTTTGTCGAGGATTTTTGTGTCTGTATTCATAAGAGACATCGGTCTGTATTTTTCCTGTGGCATCTTTGTCTGGTTTTGGTATCGGGGTAATACTTCCTTATAAAATGCTGCATAGTCTTTAACAAAACCCCCAGTGTCTGGTTTAATGAGGTGCTCTGGAACTTTGCTGGGTGTCAACATGGAATTTGCTAGAAACTCCAGGCCATTTTCACCCACTTTTGGGCTGTGACATTCCCGTTGGAAATGATTTTTGTATTGTTGCAAAGACTCCCGAAGTACATTTAGGCTGAAGTATTGAAACTTTGACCACTGGAGGCGGGTACATTTCCCCTCATGTTCAGTAAAATATTTACTGAATAAATGAGTGAGCCCGTCCTCTGCAAATTCCAGGCCTGTCAGAACCCTGTTTACTCCCCCAACTGTGAGACTTCCCCCGAACTAGCCTTCTGTCTGCAGTTCCTGCTGGATGCTGTTTTTTTTTTTTTTTTTTTTAAAGATTTTTTTTGGGGGAATTGGAACAGTGCTGGGGGAATTGGGAGAAGGGGAACAGACTAGTTGCTGTCGTTTTGTTCTTCAATCTAGTTGTGGAGGATGTTGCTTCACTGGCCCAAGTTGGCACCATCATTGTGCTCTTCTCTGGCGAGGCAGATCAGTCGCCGGCTTCTGGACGGCCGCTCACTGCGGCTGCTGGCCGCTCACGCTGGCTGCTGGCTACACACGGTAGCCCATGGCCACCCACTGCCACAGGGGCTGCAGCCTACGCCGTCGCCGGCGACTCATGGCAGCCCAGCTCCAGGTTGAGCTGTTGTTCAGCATCTTAGCTGTGGAGGGCAGTGTCACTGGCCCTCATATGTGGGATCCGAACCGGGGCCCTCTGGCATCCCAAGCGAGTTCTTAACCATCGCGCCACTCGGCCGGCCCTGGATGCTGTTTTCTATGTTATTGTTATTAACAACAATAATTCCTCGGCTTACTGAATGTGGGCTTCTGAAGCCTCTCACGATGGGATCTCCACACACACCTGTGTGGCTACCTCGTTTCATACGCGAGGAAACAGGCCTGTATGTGGCGAGCTGCGCTGGTGGCCCACCGGGCCTGTGGCTCCGGGGCTGACATCCCTCAGCGCTACCCCTAGCTCGGCCACCCCACATTCGCCCACACAGCCCAGCGTCTAGAACCCCTGCCCGGCTGAGGGCTGTGGGGCTTCAGGCAGCTCTAATTAAATGTATGCTTCCAGGGGGACTGACTGGCAGGAAGGCAGCTGCCCCCATCTCTCGCTCCTCATCTCTCTCCGCTTCACCCGCCCTTGTTCTGCGATGCGAGCTGCCGGAGGGAAATCATGTCACTTAAGAAGCACAGAAGCCAGTTCGACTCACGTTGGCAATTTGTTGTCTAATCAAAACCATTACAATTTGTAGCTGGGGGTCTTGATTGTGCCTCTCCAGCAGGCACCCCGGTCCGATCTTCATGCCTGATTTTTTTATTTAATCTTTTCCCACTTTTCTTCCTGATTTCTAGGTCAGAGAGTTTGAGACTCCTTCTTGCTTCAAACTGGCTCAGGGGTTTTGTCTGGCATGAGGTTTTCCCTGGAGGGCGAGGGGTGGGGTGTCCTGCCTTTCAGAGGGGCCGAAAGTCCACTGGACTGCATTCTCCCCATTCTTCAATTCTTCGCGGGCCCCCACGGTGCAGGGGAGGGGCCGGGGCCATTCTTCTTAACCTCTCTTGAACCTTCGCCCCCTGCCGAGCCAAAGGTTAAGGGTCATTTTCCTCAGCTCCTCTCCACCGCTCACTCTTTGTGCCGGAGGCGCAGACAGAAAGCCAGGGAAGACCTCAGCCCTGGCCTCTGAAACAGCATTTACAATCACAGGTCTGTCTGTCTTTGGAGGAAAGACAGTCACATCAGGGGTCTCCTGTCCTGATGTGGGGACAGTGTCAGCTTTGAGCTGGAGAGATGGGCAGTAAGGGTACAGAAAAGAGATGAGAGCGAGAACTGTAACAGTGCTAAGATGGGGGGCCTGGCTCTGCGCCTTTGAAGAAAGAGACAGGAGTGACTGGTCAGTGGTCACGCCCTTGCCTGTGTCCATCCTGTGGTGGGGGGACGGCGTTGTCTGACACCCCCTTCTCCCGAACCTGTCTTTCTCCAAAGTGGTAATACCCAAAGCCTGCTTTTCCTAGAGAATGAAAGCTGGGGGACGGCAAGGCCTGCAGGGTTTCGATGGCCCCGAGGAGGAAATCAAGCTTCTGTCCTGCCCTCAGGGGCCATGGACTCACCCTTCTGGCTTTAGATGGTGTGTGCGGGTCCCCAGTTCTGAAAATCCCAGCAACCATCCAGAACCTTCTGTCAGCCTCTGTCTTCAGGCGATAATGTCTAGAACCTTCTGATGGAAGGCAAGCTCCCTGAATTCCAGCTTTTTTTTTTTTTTTCTTTTTTAAGGAGGGTGCAGCTCACAGTGGCCCATACTGGGATTGAACCGGCAACCTTGGTGTTATTAGCACCGCGCTCTAACCAGCTGAGCTAACCAGCCGCCCCACTCAGCTCTTTTTTATTTGCACGTTTCCCATGGTGATGCAAGTTAAAAACAGCTGGGAAACACAGGAGAGATGAACAAGGACAATCAGAGCGCTGGTGACCTGGAGACCAGGGTAAGTGCCCTGGAAAGCGTCGCTTCTGTCCGTGCCATGGGGCCAAGCTGTGCACGTACAGATGTCATTCAGACACGAGCAGGAACCTCGCACGTGGCGGTTTGAGTCCTGCCTGCCCACTTAGTGTGCGTGCGGTGGCCATTTTCTCATCATTTGAACCTTTCTTCTCAACAATGTCAAACAGCTGCAAACCTTCCGCCATCAGGAGGCGTTACGATGTTTTGTTCTTGCTCTTAAAGCTCAACACACAAGAGTCTGGACGCAGCTCAGGGTCCTGTCAGCTCACTTCCTAGGCGGGAGCTCAGGCACAGGGGCGGGGCTGGGGACACGGAAGTCTCCCCCCACCGGCTTCCCTCTGGGGCCGGTGTGGGGGCAAGTATGGCTGTGAGGATTCCCTGTGGTCTGGACGCCGGGGTTGGCAGGGTCCACATGTACTTACTCTGCCACAAGTCACGGGTCCTGCCCACTGGAGTCACCCAAACGGGACAGAGGTCCCCTTGAATGGAGGCCATCGGGTGTGGCAGTGCCACCTGTGGGTGGAAAACACAAATTGGGCAGCAGTGTTTACATCAAGTCCCCTGTGATTTTCTGAGCTGGAGGAGGCAGAGGCGACTTGTGCTGTGAGCAGCTTTCAGCACTAAGGGAGCCTTTCCGGGAGCTGTGCCCACGCTGAGTGCTCACAGCCACTGCCTTTTCATCCATAAGCGTGTCAGAACTCTCTTCCCACTGAGATTTCAATACTGATGTTTGGTTAGGGATTATGTTCCTGTCACGTTTCAGTTGTTTTTTAAAGGGAACAGATATTGTAGTAAGAAAGAAATGGGCAAAGTTACTTAAAACAGAGAGACCTTTAGGCTCCTGCTGTAGGTTTTTACCGACATGAGTGGTAAACTTCAGTTTTGTGGCACTCGTGGCTACTTGGAAGCCAGGTGCGTGCTCTCAGAGAACGCCGGCGTGATTTGTCCCACGTGACAGGTGTGGCAAGTCAGCCTTGCAAGGCGAGGAGTCATTCCTGCCACGTAGACCCCAAAACTCAGTGGGTCGTTCTCACAAGAGTGACTGATCTGCACAAAACCTCTTTCCTTTGTGACCAATGGTGGGACACCAAGGGTGGTGCCGCGCTCAGGGTGCCGACGGCCGCGTGGCTGCCCCACCCCTGTCGCAGCCACAGTTGTTGGTTCTGTTTATGTCTCTAAAGCAGGCTGAGCTGCGTGAGTTCGTCTGAACTCTGCAGAAACATCAGAGTGGCTTTAAACCTACATCATCACTGAAGGTGACGTTTTTATCGGACTTGAGGGGGAGCCACCAATTTCAAACAGACGAAAAATGCCCCTTGTTTTCCAGGCGGGATGGTTCTTTCCGGGTGTGTTAGAAGGGCCATCAGTGTGGGAGCGAGGGAGGAACAGGCCCATGAAATCTACTTCCAGGAAGGTTCCAGGACAAGGCCTCCGTCTGGGGGGCCCTGTGAGGCTGCTGCATGTCCCTCTCCACTCACCACTGTGTTCATTCAGCGCAGAGCCAAACAGGGAAGAGGGTCCCCAAATATGGGTCAGAGTGTCCACGGGAAATGTCCTCATGTTTGTTTGTGTCACCCCTGGCCGCACATGCCTGCGAATGGGACACAGAAGGCCCAGGCCGCGGGGCACCGTCCCCTGTTCAGGGTCTGGGCTGCCTCCAGCCCCAGGCACATCAGTGCCCTCGCGGTTTTTCTAGAAGATTCCCTGTGAGCTTGTTCTGGTGACCATCGTGTGTGTCAGAAAGCCTTAGGCAGACCCCCTGGACATAAGGGGGCCAGCGGCCCAGCGGCTGATGGGGGCATCATTGGACATCTTCACGTGGGATGGACACGTAGCAGACAGGAAAACCCCCAGTGCCTCCCAGTTAAAGGAAGACAGGGTGGTGTTTGTTGTGTGTGACGTGGCCGTTCAGAATCACAAGACAGGACGCAGAGTTCACCCACGGCAGAGACGGCGCCTGGCGGCCCGGGGCGCGGGTCGCAGTGTGGCCTCAGCCCAGGCGGCCGGTGCTGCGCCCGCCCGACCCCGTCCCTGTACTTGCTAGAGGACAGGTGCGGACTGCACGTGTCAGGAGGGGGCTGGAGGTTAGACTATGACCCCAGCCAATCTGTCTAAAAAGACAAACGAACCGTTATTTCAAAATTGAGACTCCCACCCGCCGCATTTAGGAAGCGCCGGTGGCATTGAGTGGCGCCTGCCCTGTCCTGCCGCGTGGGTGGACAGCACATTGTTCTGGCCGCTCCACGCCCCGTCAGATCGCATGGCGGGTTCCCGATGTGTTGGTGGGGCGCTCAGGCCGGAGGGGGCGCGTGGGCCGTGCTCGTCCACACAGCTCTGCAGCCGCTCGTGATGGGAGGAGGAAAGGAGCCATTTTCACACGACAGCCCCTCTGGTGCCAGCCGAGCTCCCTCTCCTGGTGCAGACGCCAGCAGCCTTGCGCACATCGCATGATTTTTGTAAAGAATACTTGCTGGTGAGAGATGGTGTTATTTTGCTTTCAGAACCTGGTGCTTTGCAGTCACATCCACAGGGCAGTGTGGCAGCGGCTGCTGCTCTAAAGACACGGGCCTCGCCCCCGATTTTTGCTGACATTTTGTGACTCTAAGTCACCTCCTCCGGCCTGAGCTCATGTAATAGTTCATAAAAAGCCATGCAGACGTGTGGACGTGCGAGCTGCCGGCCCCGCCCCTCCCTCCGGCGGGCGGAGGCGGCGCCCGATTGGCTGCAGGTTGCCAGGACTCGGTTGCTAGGATCCTGCCTGTCTATAGCCCCTGCAGGAAACGCATCATGAATTATGGATGGTTGATTTTCTCTGGAGGCCTAATCTGTAATGCAGATGAGCTGCAAGTCCCCCCTTTTCTTCTGGCTTCTTAAGGGGGGGAAAAAAAAATCAGAGTTTTAAATCAGAAGCTGGCATTTACAAAGTCCCAGTGCCACTAGCCGAGGCCCAAGCCGCTGATGTTAATTCTTATGCAAAAAGGGGGCCAGAGGTCAGTGTCTGTTATTTGCTCTGGAAAAGCTTGTAGGATTCTCACTGACCTCTGTGACCCTTCGGGGGCCTCTTTCATTGTGTGTGATCAGAGACAAAAAGGGGTATAAACACGAGAAGTGGCATTATCTGAATATAAGAGCCGCGAGGGCCCAGGGCCCTGGCTGCCAGACCAGTGAGGCCCTGTCCCTCCCGCCCTGTCGCCCAACGCCAGCCCAGAGGCCATGAGGCCGCTCCTGAGGACGCCTCTGCCTGCCCTCTGCCCGGCGCTGACCACTGCAGGCTCTCCGATTACCAGCCCCCCCAGCTTTCCGTTGGAGAGGGCTTGTGCCCCCTTTCCGGGGGCTGTCACATTTCCAGGGGCCTGTGCTCCTAGGATGCCATCCACACGGTGGCCTCAGTGGAGAGAGAGGAGGGGTCAGAGGGCTGGGCTCCCGCCTGCCCCTCCCCACGAGGTGGGGCCTTCCCTGCCCGCACCCAGGGGCACACGTCCTGCACGGCGGGGGTCAGCAGGGGCCGTGCTGCCTCACCTGGGCACTAGTGACCACAGGCCGCTGTCCTCCCTGGGGTCCCCCAAGCAGGAGGACTCAGGACCGTCAGAGGGCCGCGTGCTGCTGAGGGCAGATTCCAGAAGGAACCGCGTGTGCTTGGAGTCCAGGCCCCCACCTGCCTTGGCCCTGAGTAACCAGCCGGAAGGCAAAGTGTCACCTCCCAGCACCCCTGTTCTTGTGAATGCCGCTGAGATGGGGGGGGGGCCTGGGACCCACACAGCCCTGAAGACGATGGGCCAGTTTCCTGGGAGGCCCCAGGCTCGGCTGGCAACGATGGAAGACGCCTGGCACCACCACCCAGCCAGCCAGCCGGTCCTCTGGCCGCCACAGAGGGACCACCATCACCACCAGAAAGAAAGTGGAGGAAAGAACTTGATTTGAGAGGCTCACCTTTATTCCAGAACGACGGAGAAGCAGGCTCGGTGAGGATTGCATCCGTACCTGCTGTGCGGTGGCCGGGTCAGGGCACAGCAGTGACAGGAGCTGTGCGCCTCACAGGACACGGGACACGTGTCTCAAGTTTGACCCTTTCTTTCCTTTTACTGAGGGAACAAACGGACGTTGTTTTCAGAATCCAGGGACTAGTTTCATGAAGAGCCTCGGCTCACCTATGCCGCTCAGGGTCAGGCGGAGATGCCAGTAGCTGGTCAGAGCTGGGGGGGGACGCCGTCCTCCGCAGGCCATGTCACGGGGGCCCCGTGCCCATCACCCTGCCCGGAGGTGCTGGGCCGTAGACAGAAGGCCCGACGGGGCTTTGGCTCCTGTCTGCCCCCTGGCACCGCCCCGTGGCAGGTGGGCAGTACCTCACATCTGGAGGGTGGCACAGGTTTAAAAATAGAAGGCGTCTCCATGGCACCTGGAAACCGCAGGCTGGAGATAAGTGGGGCTGACCCGCAGCCGCACGGCCGGGTCCCCCCCTTCTCAGAGCACTTGCTGGGTAACGGGCTCCCCTTCTGCAGGGGGACTGTCTCCGTGCCTCACGGTCTCCACGTCCTGTCTTCCGTCCGCGCGCCCGGCGCAGTCCAAGCACAAGGACAGAAGCCGGGGGAATATGTGTCATTTCATGAAGACTAAGTGGCCACAGCCAGTTCCCCGCGCCTCTCACCTATCTGTGGTGTGAAATCCAGCCTCCGGCTTTGCTTTCGGGTCTCAGCTGGGAGGACGGAGTGCTGTCTGGCCGCTGACTTTGAAGCTGGTGACAGCCGCGCCTGCGGGTGAGGGCCGGGTGCTGGCCTGAGAGCTGAGGCCGGGCGGGCAAGGTGGCGGCCGCAGGAGTGGGGGGGCATGAGAGCTGAGGGGAGTGTGTGCTGGGCTGTGTGAACGCTGATACCTTTACTGTTGGAGAAAAGGCGTTACTCAGCGTGTGGGGGGCGCCTGTGACAGAAAAGGCGGGGCTATCAGAGCTCAGACCAGGCCTGAGGGAGCTGGCTGTCCTTAGCCGAAGTGTTCTGTGGCTCCCACTGCAGGCCAGGGAGTGGGGGTGACAGCTGCTGGGCCCCAGGGCCTGGAGGCCACGGAGCTGGGATCAGGCGCCTGCTGCTGACACGTCTGGAACTGGGGCTGAGCCACTGACTCCTGTCTTGACAGGGACACGTGAGTGGGTCCTGTGAGTATTGCATACATGAAAAACAGACTCTGCCTATGCTCCTGGGACAAACCGAGCCGCAGACATGAAGTCACGTGCTGGACGGTGCCGTTCTGCACAGCAGCAGAGCAGGAGGGGCACCCCACATCCCTCGGGCCAGCAGCCTCCCCCCAGTACCCCCAGGGAGCAGCTCGCAAAGCCCAGCAGGGAAGTGGGGTTTGGACGGGCCCACAGCGGACACCTGCATGGCCCCTGCCCTCCCTCTGCCCTTGTCTGTCGCCCACCGGCGGGCACCGTGTGGCACTCTTGCTCTGAGCCGGCTTGGTCACACCTGGTGGTCCGCGCACCCAGACGTCCTCCGTCGCTCACGCTCCTTAAGGGTGAGAGCCCAACCCCACCCAGCAGGACCCCGGCACTTGCTTATCCGTGGAAACAGCCCCCCTGGCCTCCCTCTGGCTCCTGCTTCCTGGGAACACCTGTGGAGACCCCAGGTCGCGTCCCCTCGTCTTCACGTGCTCAGCATGTACCTGACTTACCCTTTGCCTCCCTTTTGAGTTTTAAGATCATTTTACTTCAGACATGTTCTTATAAATGATGTCTGTTTTTTTCTAAACTCCTAAACTCCAATTTGAGATTCCACTTTAACTGATGAGTTCAGTTGCCACTGGAGCCAGCATCCTGCTTCAGGCTCTCCTGGGGACGCAGGGTGCCCGTTGGCCTCAGGCTGGTTCAGGGGTACAGACCCGCTCCTTATATGTGCCAGGCTCCTGGCGAGCGCCAGAGAGGCCACGTACCTGCCACCGAAACGTGCCCCTCCGTGCGCTGTGACAGCGCCCTCATAGGCTGAGGCCAGAGTGAGCCTGAGCTACTATGTTGCATGTCCTGTTGGATGGGACTTAAAAGGCAAGTGTACCCTATAAATTGTTACAAACTTTGCAGTTCCTTTTCTTTATCTCAGTAAAATTGTTTCGCAGCCTGACCCTGGGGGCTTGGGGAGCAGAGCCGCAGGGGACAGCCCAGCTCTGTGGACCCTTCAGCCGATGTGGTAAGAACGTAGGTTAGAGCCTGATGGAGGCATGTGGTCAGTGGCAGCCCCGGCCCTGACCCGAGCGAGGCTGCATTTCTGCGTGAGGGACGCACAGCTTCAGCCTGCGCTGCACAGGCCAGGGTTCCTGGGACACACCAGCCATGCTGTGCTCCTCCTTCCTGATGTGACTCGGCCCCCGGGTCACTCAGCGCGTCTGGGCCCGAGGCCTGCCAGCAGGTGACGGCGGTGCTCCGTGCAGGGCCAGGCTGGTCACGGCATTTGCCTGGGATGGTGGGTGGGTGGGTGTGTGTGCCTGTGTGTGCGTGTCCTTGTAAGATATTTTTCAGGACAAGCTGCTGTTCCTCTGCATTAAAATAACAGCCTAATTAATTTTCCTATTCGCATGACTGTGTGTCTAAGTCAGCTGGAGGACGACTCACAGGAGGAAGGTGCTAACAGGGTGCGTGGGGACTAGGCTGCCTCGAGCAGGAGCTGCTGAGCTTGGTGTCGACCCCCAGCAGCCGGAGAACTGGCCCGGGTGGTGGGTCACTCCCTCGACCTCCAGGCTGCTTCACGCACCGACGCCATCGCGGCCCCTCCCCACGCTGCTCCCTCCCATGTGACTGCCAGCTGCCCCATCAGCATGTATTATGCAAAGTGGAATCTCCTGGAAGCGTGAAGAATGAAGTAATTCTGTATGCAGAGTCAGAGCTCTCCTGAGTATCCTGATTACGTACATGTTGATAAATTCACTTATGATGAGTGACAGTGTGAGATTTTGGGGTCGGATCGGTCAATCTGTGGGAGACACTGATGAAAATGATGAACTAAATGCCAGAAGTGTCCCTGGTGCGTCTTGGGAGGGCGTGTGCACGATAGCAGCCTCCTGCCAGCTGTGCTAACAGCCGGGCGCGATTGTGAGGCGAGAGCAGGGACTTGCACGGTGACTGAAGAGGTGCCTCTTGCTTGGTTAGTGACAAACACATGACCTTTTACACCTGCCTCCAGCTGGACCCCTCCCCGTGTGGGCTGCGGCTGGGGCCTCTGACCTGAGCCCCATCTTCCCCCCACTGCCTCCCTCACCCCTTGTATGAGACCAAGGCCGTGCAGGGGGGACTGAGAACAGGTGGGCGGTCCTGGGAGGCCCATGGCAGGCTCGGCGAGGAGCCATCGACCCACAGCTGCCCAGCAGCACGACCGGAGTTGGTGCTGTTCGGGCACGGCTTGTCCTGACTCTGAGAGGAACCCGGGGCCCCGCGCGTAAGACAAACACCGGGCTGGGTGGGGCTGAGCCCTGGTCTGGAGGCCCACCTTGTCCCCATCGCGTGCTGCCGTGGGAAAATGAAAAGGTGACTCAGGCCTGTCCCCGCCTCAAGGATGCAGCCGCCTAAGCACACAGATCAAGTAGGGAGGGGCCGACTCACGTAAAGACCCCCCCACACGGGAAACTGAAGCTTTGCACTTTTGGATTTGTTGGGACTGGGTGGGGGCTGTACCCACTCATTATGATTCTGCATGTCCAGGGGGGCACAAGCCCCCGGGTGCTGCCTCTGTGCACGCCCGCTGGCCCGATGGGTACTGTGTTCACCTCAAAGCGCCCCAAGCCTCCGGCCACCGTCCCCGTGCGCCCCGAGGCCCCCGGCCTCCCCCAGCCTCCCGGCCACCCTCCCCCGGCGCCCCGAGCCTCCCGGCCGCCCTCCCCGGGAGCCCCTAGCCCCTGGCCGCCCTCCCTCGGCCTCCCCGAGCCCCCAGCCACCCTTTCTAAGCGCCGCTCAGCCAATAGACCGACACAAGAGTTGGGTCACTGGTGGTCTGAGAAGGCAGCGGGTTAATACCTCCAAAAACTGCCTTAACATTTTCAGACCAGTCTGGGGTTTTTAAGGGAAAATCTGGGCAACCCAGGAACAATGATGGGATCAGCCCAATACCATTGAGATTGTGATCAATAAACAGGGAACTGGGTGAGACAGGGCACATTCTGAGCTCCAGCCTCGGGGGTGATCTGTTGTTACGCTACAGGCAGGTCAAGGAAAGGGGAGGCCGGGGACCTGGAGAGGCCTCTACTGTGGGGGGCCAACCGGGCCCTGTTTCGATTCCCCCTCGTCTTTATTCATTTTATTTCTGTAAAATTATGATGGTTGCAAGGGTCGGAGACAATGGCCATTCTTGGCTGCTTCCTGCTGAGACTGGACATCGTCCCTGCCTGTGGGCACTCGAGATTCTTGCTTATTTTCCCTAAAGGAGCCCAGAGAATAGGAGCGCCAAAAGGCGTCCAGTGGGCACCCCAGGTGGGCACAGGTGAGGACAAAACTGAGCAGGTCCAGCCGTTCAGTGTGAAGAGGAGCTAGGGGTCTTCAGTGGGCTCACAGGAACAGGGTGAGAGCCGTCTTCCTGGGGGAGTCCTGTGGAGACTTAAATAAGTTTGATTCGAGGGAAGGGACACAGCCACTGACTCTCATGCCCGACAGCAGTTGGGGTGCTCGGAAAACAGCAAGGGGTCCCTTCCGCTTAGGAGCTAACTGCTCTGTTAGAGACACCCCCCCCCCCGCTCCACCCCACCCCAGGCTCCCAACAGTACTTGGTCCCTGGCTCTCCGGGGCTACAAAGTGTGGAGGGCGCAGCCCGGGGGAGGTGCCAGTCCCCATATTTCCCAAGTGCCTGCCGAACCTCTGCCCCAAGGTGACGACACAGGAGATAACAGAACTGAGGTCAGATCACAAAGTAACAGGGAACAGTTAGAGCCGGGCCCAGAGGTGCCCTGACGAAACTCCAGAGCCCTTAAGTCTGATGTGCTGTCTTATGTACGTTTCCTCGGAGGCACAGGGCAGCGGGAAGGAACGGGCTTGAGAGGAGCCCAAGGTGAGGGGCTTTACTTATCCGCACCGCCGACCTGGTCTGGAGGGAGCAGGTCCAGGGCGAGCGGTCAGGACAGAATCTGCGGCGCCCGTATCAACCAGGATATGAACGGGCTCACCTGCCACGTCAAGGGTCCCTGCAGTTGCTCCCCTGTGAGGAGCATGGCCTCTTTCCTCTGGGGGAGCCACTGGGAACCCCGGGCCCACCAGCCAATCACAACCACAGGCGTTAGCAGCTGGTCCGGGCTCCCTTCAGAGCAGGGGAGAACCCCTCCTCCAGGGCCCTTTGCTTGGCACAGGCGGCACGCTGCTTTGCAGGGTTAGGACCCTCCTTACCCCCGGGGCCTGGGCTTCCACATCCAAACAGGCTCCTTTGTCTCCCCTGGGGCTGCCGGGGTGGCCCCGAGGTGGCCCTGGCCCTGGCCCTGGGCCTGGACTGTCCACTAACTGCAGCCACAAACCTGGCCTGCCTCCGGCCTCGTGCTCCAGTCTCACTGTTCCTTTTCCCTTGCTGTCCCTGTCTCGGTTAAAGACACTCAGACAAATTCCTGGCCGTCTCTAGGACCTGGGCCTCTATCAGGGAGCTGACGGGCCAGAGCCATTATCATCCCTGTCAGGCCAGCGAACACATCAGGCCAGGCTTCCTCACACAGGCCCACGCGCTGAACTCCAGCAGTCCTAAGACACAGACGTCCGCACAGCTCTTAGCAAAACTTAGTTCTTAGATTTAGTTCCCTTGAGTGACTGAAGTCTAAGACACTATAAAACATTCTGATGACATACAATTTTTGTTTTCCAGGTAGACAACTTTTTCATATCAGTGGCACACCAATAGTCTAACAAACTTTGATGTATTTAGCAGAGAGAAAACTTAACTACCGTATTTCCCCATGAATAAGACACACCCTTTTACAAAAAATTTGGGGTCTAAAAACTGGGTGCGTCTTATACAGTGGTTGTAGATTTTTTTTACTTGCATTTCCCGCTGAGGACGAGGCATCTATGGACAGTGATTCGTCATCAGACACAGATGAAGACAAGCTAATGGCTGGGAGTTTTGACAGTGATGAGGAGTTGCATGAATTTTGTGATGAATAAAACGATTTCAATACCCTTATGGAATACATTTTTTTTTCAAATTTGAGGCCCCAAAATTAAGGTGCGTCTTATACATGGGAGCGTCTTATACATGGGGAAATATGGTAATTTTGTACCAGCTTACTTCTGATATTGAAAGTTATTTAGTTGCAATCATCTTTATATATGGTTATATATAAAATTTTCTCAAGATTTTTCTTCACAAACGTTCTACAGCTTTCCCCGTCCCTCTGAGTTTGTCTCCTCACTCACTCAGAAATAACCATCCTTAGGACAAACTACTTTCTTTCAGTTCCTTCAACAATGCATTTCTGTACCTTGAAAACACACATCATTTTCCTTTCATATTAATTAGAATCCATAACCTTCAGAACTTTAATTTCTATTGACAACTAAAAGCAAGTACCCAGTATTTCCTTTAGCAAATCCATAAATACATTTTCTAACCTTTAGAAGTATAGATTTTATAATAAAATACAAGATATATTTATTAACAGATCTTAATCTAGCTTTTAGTGCTCCTGTGACAAGCCAGAAATAGATGAACTCATACCTACCTAGTAATTAATATATCAGTATTTCATTATTTTGAAATAAATACCTAGATATTCAATAATTTATCACTTAACACAACATAGTAAAGCTGAAATCTTAAGTTACCAATAGATGCTGAGAAACCTCATCCAAGCATCCACATTATATAATTATTACTGAAGTTTCATCTAAAACCTTATTTTAGTTAACATTTTATTAGTTCTTAATTCTATGGAATTTCAAAGGTAATTATTATCCAAGCTGCTTTCCTGACAAATTTTGTGACAGAGGTAACATAAATTTATGTTTGTAAACCCAGGTAAAACAAGAGACCATATTTGATGTTAATAACTGTAAAAAAATACCTATTTAACCAAAAGTTAAACCAGCCTTAGTATCAAATATTTTCTTAGATCAAGTGACCCTGAAAAGTAAGAGTTAATTTTTATTATTTAAATTTATATAAGCACTTAATCTTTTTAAGCCAATCAAACAATCTGTTAATACCATCCGGTAGCAAAAACACTACATTGTATAAAAACCACAGACAGGCCAGCCAAGTGGCTCAGTTGGTTAAGAGCGTGAGCTCTGAGCAAAAGGGCCTCCGGTTCGATTTCCACATGGGCCAGTGATGCTGTGCCCCAGCTGAGCTGTCGCTGAGCTGCCAACAGTTGGCAGGATGGCTCAGCTGGTGAGAGAACATGCTCCTAACAACAAGGTCCCTGGTTTGACTCCTGTGTGGGATGATGGGCTGTGCCCACCCACAAATAAGATTGAACAGGGCACCTTGAGCTGAGCAGCTGCAAGCTGCCGACGGGCGACTGGACTTGGAGCTGAGCTAGCTGCACCCTCCACAACTAAGACTGAAGGACAACAACTTGGCTGTTCCCCTTCCCCAATTCCCCAATACT